TTTCTAAAATGGTGCCTTGAGTTCTGAAGTCATGTATGGTAGAAGGCCCAAGAGTAGGAAGGACCTAAACTAGTTTCTTCTATCCTTGACTGCTTGCTTTGTTTGAGACAGCGGTTCACTATGTAGCCCTGGATGGCCCAGAGCTCACGATGTAGACCGGGCTGGCCTCTAACTACATGCCTCTGCCTCCCAAGTGCCGGGTTAGAGGAGTGTGTCACCATGTTTGTTTTTCAGCCTTTGATGATAATTGCTATGTAAGTCAATCACTTCCCTAAAGAACCTATCTCTTACTTAAAAATCTTATTTCTAGCGGAGGTTAAATTCTCACACACGAATACTGAACACTGAGACTCCAGGATCATCTCTGTTCTATCAGAGGAGGAAGAAACTGTCAGTTTGACTTCCCTCCTGGAGGTTATCTTTAGGGACTGTTTATATGGTTTTTCTGCCACCCATGACTTTAAGCTTGTAGGAAAAAGACCTTATAATAAAGCTGAAGATCAAATTTAGTTAAGTGGAATCTTTACCCTTTACTCGAATGTTTAATTTATAAGTGTTGGTCCAATACAGTCTCCTTTTTTATTGGAGTTAGCTACCACAGACACTTGTAGTTGTCTGTCTGTTAGCCATAGTATTCGAAATTGTCATGAGCACTGCCTTCATTTTCACCAGAAGTAGGGGAAGATTTTGTGAGAGACATTTACGGGGGTCAGTAGGTCGTCATAACTCAATATAAGGAATGGCTTTCTAAGAGAGCTTCACAAAGGTAAAGGGATCTTGTCTTAAATGAAATGACTTTGTTGTCTGATGTTCAGTTTTGTCATGTGAAAGATAAGAAAAGCAGAAGCATCTCACAGAGCTGCTGTCATGTTTCAATGAGTTAACCCAAGCTAGGCCTGGTGTGCAGGCCTTTAGTCCCTGCCACTCAGGAGGTTTAGGCAGCAGGCTTGTCTGCTTAACAACTTAGGGAAACGCCAATACTAAATAAAAGCTAACCCAGTAAAGTTACACAGATAACACAGACACACATATACACAGACACACAGGCACACTCAGAGTCATACACACACACACACACACACACACCACACACACACGGGCACATAGACACAGACACACAGACACATGTATACAGAGACAAACAGACACAGACACACAGACACACACACACACACACACACACACACTTCTGTTTTTCTGAAGCTGTGGCAACCTTAAGTAAAAGAATAAAAAAAGCCTCTGGTTTATATTTTGTGTGTATTGAGTGAGGACATGTATACAAGGTCACATGGAAAATATCTTTGTGTTCATGCTTCTCTCCTTAGCTTGACACACAGAAACACACGAGTATGGTGGCTGCTTTGGCTGGAAAGTTCAATATGAAATTGTTGGCTTGAAGATTTTCCAGTTAAGAGCTGCAGTTAGAGTCAGGTGCAGCTTGGGTGTCGTTTTTGTTCCTCCCGTAGTTGAGCACATGGCCTTGGGCAAAGTGCTTGCTGATTTATGGAATTGAGAAATAATTGTGATTATCTAGCACAGTTATTTAAGGAATAAATAGATTGTTACTGGAGTAACTGCAACGACAGAGGTTTTATCTGTATTGTTGACTGCTGAACCTGTTGTGCCAGTGAGCGCCAGACACAAGGTAGGTGCTCAGTAAACATTTGTTGGTAGCTGAGGCCTCAGTAAATAGTAGCTGCTACAATCCTACTTTGGCATTTTTATTTATTTATTTTCATTGCATGGTGGTTTTCTTGGGAGAACTTGTGTTTTCTAAAGCCAATAGATTGTTTCATCAGTGGTGATTCTCAGTTAATTGCATATAATTCAAAGGAGACTCCATGAAGAACTAACACCATTTCTCAGGCAAATTAACTTTTTATTTTTAGTGATTAAGTGAGGCTGGTTGTTGGGGACTTTACCCAGGTGTCTGGAGTCTGTCAGGAAAGCAGTATTTTACTTTCTTTTTTAGATTTCCCAATGACTGGCATGGCTTTCCCAGGTCTGAACTGAGAAATCCAAGTCCACGTGCAGGCTAGGTCTCTCAGCAGCTCCAAACGCTGTTGCTAAGTCACCAGGTGCCTTGGATGACCCTTTAAATCAGATGCAGTCTGCTTATCACGTGGCTGCAGGGACTTTTTTGTTTTGCAAATAAAGGAGGGTTTCCTGTCTGGGTTGAGCCCATCAAACTGAAGCAATGAAAAAGGCTTTTTGTTCTCACAAGAGAAGTCAACCTTTATTTTTAGCAAAACCAGTAAAGTGTGTTCTTAGAGTACCCCCAGCCCTCCAAGAATGATATTAGTAAGTTACAACTAAGCATTTTTTTTCTTTAAGAGGAGTATATGATAGAAAATGGAATTTAAAGTTGTGTTTCAAACACATTTATACTTAACCTGCCTGAATGTTTATTTTCTAATTCAGTTTGAGCAGTATGTTTATCTAGAAAAGGGTAATAGAATTAGTATTCTGATTAAATTTTTACGAGAAAGTTTGAATCCACTTTCATGAATTGATTGCCTTCTCGGGCATTACCACTAACCATGCTAGTGATAGTAATGATAGTAATTATAAGAACTGGACAGTTGTGGCTTGTGCCTTATTTACATGTGTAGTATTCAACTTTGGCCTCTTAACATCTGTGTGAGACTTTTTAAATAATTTGTTTTCTATAATAAGCATAGGAATTGAGGTTCCCAGAAGTCAGGTAGCCTAGTAAATATTTAAAATTTATATTGATGTTTTTCCTGCAGAAAGCTCAGGTGTGCATTTGTGTTAGTCGTTTAAATGTTCTTTCATGTCAGAAAGTACCAAAGAGCTTATGTGTTCATGAACCTGCAAACACTTACTCGTAGACCCCATGGGAGACATCTAGTGTGAGACAACAGATAATCTGATATTTAATTGTTGTATGTATTTGTTTGGCCCCGGCTGTGTGTCACACCTAGAGACAGAACAATAGAAGAACTCCAAATCCTCAATCTTGAAGGGCCCGTTTGACAGGTAATAAAACAAGATAGCATCAACAAATATGCTAAGGAGAAAGACAAACAAGCCAGGGAGGGGGTTAAAAAAGTGTGGAAGAAGGGAATGTATCAGGAATACAAGGAACACACACACATGCCTACACACATACATATACACATACAAATATAAATACATACACATATACATGATCATACACATATATACATATATTTATGCACATGTAATACATATGTATACACGTACGTAGGCTTACAGACATGCATATATAAACACACATATGTATATGTATGCACAAATACTATCCATGTGCACACACATACATGTATATACGTGAGACATGCACACATACATGCACACATACATACATACATACATGCATGCATATGCAAATGCACACATACCAGGAATACCTTGCCAAACGGTAGCTTTTGCCAAATCATCTGGCTGAGTGCAGGAGCCATCCATGAAGCTGGTAGGGAAGAGTACTCCAGAGTCACAAGCAAGGACAAGACCCCTAGAGGGACATTTCTTCAGATTCTCCCAGCAGAGGAAGGACATCTTTGGGCTGGAATGTTGTTAATGTTCAGTAAGGGATGAATTCACAGAGGCAGCACCGGCTTGGCTAATGCAAAAGTTTGTAGGTTCTAGAAATTACTTGAGAGATGAGAAAACTGGCGTACTTTGAGCAGAAAAGTAGCATAGACTAATTCAGAGTTGAAGAAGGAAACAGGCTGCTTTGTTGGTTTGGAATTACAGAGGAAAAGGAGTGGGTCAGAAGGAGCATTGCAAAGGTTATTAGCAATTTCTCGGTAGAGATGATGGAAGCTCCAGACTGTGGTGTGGCAGTGTTATGAGAAGAGGTCAGATTCTGGATTTATTTTAAGATATAGCTGAGGTCTGTGGATGGATTGGGGTTAAACAAAAACTAGAAAATGGAGGCAAATCTTTGACCCACGCAACTACGAAAGTTGCCGTGAGTAGGGACTAAGAACATGAAGGAAGGGGCTGGTGGACGGTTGAGGAAACAGCTCACTTTGGATGTGGTGTGCTTGAGACGCCTAAGTAGACTTCCACATAAAAAAAATGCCATGCAAGTGGCTGAATTTTGATAATAAAGCATTTGGGAAATCTGGGAGACACAGTGTTTGGTATTTGTAAAAGTTTCCATTACTATTAGAAAATGCCTGAAATAAATGACTTAAAAAGAGAAAAGGCTCAGTTTTAGACATTTTTAATCTGTGGTGGGTTAGCCTTACTCTTTGGGAACCATGGCAAGGATGTGAGCAGGGGGAGGGGGGAGATAAACTTTTACAGTGTGGGGGAGGTGTTCATTCACACAGTGAATGAGGGAGACTGGGTCCTATAATTCTTTTCAAAGGTACGCTGCCAGTGACCTAAAACTTCCGTAGTGTATTTAGTGACAAAACTTCAGAACCATTTTTTTGATGGTGAGCGTATTAGTTTACGAATCACTAAATGGAAATTGAAAATATAGCAAGCTCAAATTAAGGTAAACACTTCCACACATCACAACGCTCTGGCAAAAGACAGTCTCATGAACTACGGAAAGTATGTAGCCTTCTGTATCGATCTGACACAAAAATTTGAGAACAAATTTTAAGCTTTCTGGAAAAACATTTTGGTACATTTATAACTCAGTTTTCAGCCCGAATAGACATGTTTCCTGTCAACTTTGAACAGTGCGTGAGCTGGTTACCTCCCATCAACTAAGAAACCGTGTGTGTTTACGACACTCAGAGTCCTATTGCTCGTGTTTCGCAAGCAGGCCTTGTTCATGCTACTGCTCTTTGTCACCAGATTCTGTCTTCTTTGCTTCTGTGTCTCGGGGAAAAAAGCATTAAGAAGCTGTTTACATGACAAAGTAGATCTTCAGGTCCAGCCTCCAGATTGTTTGTACATTCAGGTTCACACATAGAGAATGTTTCTCGTATTGTATTTGAACATGGTCACGAAGAACTGACAACCTTAATTCTTCCTGTCTTCCTCACTTGCAGCAATGGCGACCTAGACCCGTGGTCAGCAGGTGGAGTCACTGAAGACCTCTCTGATACCTTGGTGGTGGTCAACATTCCAGAGGGAGCCCACCATTTAGATCTGCGATTCAGCACTCCCACAGATCCACCATCCCTGCAGTTAGCCCGCTCGGTGGAAATCAGACACATGAAACAATGGATCTCAGATTACTATAGCAATTACAGAAGGATGCCCTGAGCAGTTTCTAAAAATCACTTTTACTTCTTTTATGTTCGCTCCACCCACAAACCCATTCACTTTGATTTTTTTTAAAACATGTAATTACTTTCTCTCATTTGTCATTGTATTTGTTGGGCCAAGGTTGAGACAGAAGATAGTGACAGGGGTGGGCGCAGCCATCCCACCCTGGTGGCTGCTCCATCTTCACTGACGTGGTTCCTGACTGCCATTCACCAGGAGAGCCTGCTCTCTCACAAGTGGGGACCGTCTCCTTGGTTTTGAGGTTGAAGTCTCTCTGGCCCATTGTACGTCCCCACTCCTGCCACAAAAGGGAAAGCAGAAGCTGGATTAGAAAGGCTGCGGCTGCAGCCGGTAGGATGTGCGATGCCTGCCGATCCAGGAAACGGGGCCGCCTCCTTTGTACGCTGATTGACTGTGACTGTGCTGCAATAAAGAACAAGGCAGGCCTACCTGTGTGTTGCTCATCTCCTCCAGCTGTTGGGGAGGCAGGTGCCTGGGCTGTTCTCAGAAAGTCCTTTCTTTCTCTCTCTCCCGCTTGGCAGCTTTCCTTCGTTCTGGGATATGTGCCACTGTGGTACTGCCAGGAAGAAATCTGGCCTTCTCCTGCTCCGTTTCTCTTTGTTTTTGAGGTCAGCTTGGTGGTAATTTAGTTAAATTATGCCAACCTAGCAAAATCGCTCTCTTTGGCCTTTCACTTTAAGTGGAAACAGGCTTTATGTTGTTGTGGTCACTGATGATACTTCAGTAAAAAGACTTTTAAATTTGATGAGCAAGCTGTTCAAAGATCAGAATATAGTTTGCATTTTGTCTTCTGATGGTTGTTCTTGGTGTCATTAAAGCCCTAGGCATCACGATACCAAGCAGCAGGTGCGTGGGGACTTTCCTGTATGGCTTCCAGAAGACAAGCAGATAATTCATGCAGGCGGCATATTTGACAGCAATAAATGGCGAGGCCTTCCCATTTCCAAGGGGTTGGAACTTTTAAGCAGTTCTTACACGGAGACCTTTCTTCCAAGGGGCTTTTTTTTTTGGATAGGAAATAAGGCTGAATTTGAGCATTTTGGGGACACAGAGGGACTAACAATTTCTTCTCTGCTGAGTAAGTTTTTTCCCAGTTTCTTTTTTATTTTCTCAGATATATATACATACGTATTTTACCTGTCTTTGGGAACTTCTAATGCTTTTTTTAAAAAAATTGCAATTGGCTTGGTCATTTAAAATCAAAATTTGATTGGGAAACAGGTGTTTCCCATACTTCCCTGACACACAGCAAAATCTTGGTCAGCTTTGGAAACCTTCAGTTCTCATTCTAATGAGTTGTCCATTGAAGCAATTTGGGTAGTACTTTCTGTTGTTGTTTTGGTTGGCCTGCCTTCTGATACTTGGATGGAAGGGTATCCAGGAAACCCACAATTCCAAGGCTGCAATTCAAGACACAGCTCCGAGGGCTGGGAAGGTATGTATAACAGCTCTGAGGTGGGACATTGTCTCTGAGGCAAGGGAGCCCAGAAACCTCTCAGCTCTGGGGTGGGACAGTGTTTCAATGGTATTGTGAGGCATTGGAGTCCAAGAACCTCACAGCTTTGAGGTGGGACAGTGTTCCAAGGGTAGGTATCCTGAAGCAAGGGAACCTCACAGCTCTGAGAGGAGGCCTCCTCAACAGAGACGTTGCAGCTCCCAAGGGAGGGTTACCCCAACCCTTGATGAGCTGAGGAGTTTTGGAGTCTGAGGTCCACTCCTTTTTCATTTCTTCTTCTTTTTTTTCTTCTTCTGACAAGTGAGTCACAGAAAAGAGATTTACTGAAGGGACAAATCCAGGAGTGGTTGCCTCTGTTTTCTGGAGAAGGCAGCAGGAAACTGGAGTAAACACAGCCTTTATATAGGCTTTCTTAAGGGCTGGAGCTTTCTGGGGCAGGTATGTCCAGAATGTGGATTGGTGAGAGTTCAAGTTCTAAACTTGGGGGAGCTCAAGGATTGGTGGGTCTTTCTAAAGTTCAGGGATGGGTCAGTTTTCTTGCTCAGGGATTGGTGGGTTTTAGTGGGAAGCTCAGGGATTGGTCAGTTTTCCTGCTCAGGAACTGGTGGGGTTTTGTCCAGACTTTTCACTTCAAAGTAGCATAATCTGGGATAATTCCTACTGAGGGGCTGGAGGTGACAGTTACAGAGGTCTTGGTGGGGAAGGGGGCTGGCTGCCGAAGCTTTCTCAGGCAGAGGTCTGGCCACCTTTCTGCCTTGAGGGGTTATAAAGTTCACAGAGTCCAAAATTTACAGAGTCCACTGTGAAGGCAGTAGGCTGAAGCAGGGCTGTGTCACCGTGGACAGCTCCCATGGTGTCCGCAGTAGGCATTCTGAAGGAGGAAAATGTCGGGTTCCCGAAGTAGTCAGTTGAGGCGGGAATAATCACCATGGACAGATCCCGAAGAGGCGAGACGAGGCGACCATTTTGTCTTCTGCCTCCACAGCTCCAGGGTAGGAAGAAAGGGCTGACTACTCTGAGGCAGGAAGGGGAACTGGCAGCAAGAGGCTTGGAATTTCAGTGGCCCAATGCTCGAGGGCTACTGTGTATTTAACTGGCTGCTAAACGTAGCTCTTGGGGTGCTGTAGCCGGCTGTTCAGATTCCCCACTGCTGTGAGGTGGGGGCATGGCAGTGGGACACCACGGCTTGTTGGGCATCAGGACGGCTTGGGATGGAAGCCACCTCCGCTTGGTGGGTCTCCCCACACCTTGGGTCCAGTTGGGACAGCAGAGGCTTGGGATTAGCTCAGCCTGGGGCATCCCCTGCAGTAGGCTTGGGGCAGCAGGTTGTCTCTGCTCCAGCCTGACACTTTGTTCCAGCATCAGAGAACAGTTTACTGGGGTAGGTGTTAAAGTCAAGGCAATACTACTTTTTATTCTTTGTCTACTAAGAGGTTATAAGATGAGGGCTTGGGGCTTTAATACAGAGCATTCTTATTTTAGGACTTCAGCCCATTCTTACTTATTTAGAATCCTTAAAAAACACTGTGAGATTTTATTTAATAGTGATTATTAGGCATTATACATATATACATACATATAAAATATATACGTACATACACACACACACACACATATATATTTTGTTTGTTTGAGACATGGATTCTCTGTAGCCCTGGCTGTCTTGAATTTGCATTGTAAACCAGGCTGGCCTCGAATCCACAGCTTCCCTGAATTCTGGGATTATTGGCATGTACCACAACGTCTGGATGAAAAAACAAAATTTAAAAAGATCTTTTCCATTTTTGGCCAGGATAATTTGTATTATACTGTATAAAGTTAGCCTAAGTGTCCTGTACTAAATTTGTTTAAAGTAGAAAAACAATCCGAATATCAAATCTTATTAGAAATGGCTGGGCATATACATACAATACTTGCACTCAGAGACAAGAGGATGCTTGCACATTTAAGGGCAAACTTGCCTATGTGGTCAATTACAGGGCAGTAAAAAAACAAAGTTGAATTAAAACAAACAAACAAACAAACAAACAAACAAACGCTAAATCCAAAAGGCAAAACGCTAGCCAATCCCCCAGACCAAAAAAAAAAAAAAACCTTATATTTTTGTAGTGTTTAGTATGTTTAGTATTCCTTAATCTTTTTATTTTAAAAAGTTTTCAAAGCTTATTCTAATCATACTGGGTTATGACATTGTGACATTTCCCCAATGTGCCTCTCTTGTCTTCTTCCTCTCATCCCCTCTATCTTCTCTTTTCTACTTTCATGACTGTTTTTTTTTTTTTTTTTTTTCAAATTGTGATCCAATGTGTTTCACTAGGGTTGCTTACCAGGAGCACAAGTGAGAGGTTATTATTACTATTTTTTATAGGCATCTTACCATTGTCTACATCATAGAAAAAAATGTCTCTCCCTCTCCCAGCTACCATTAACTGCGTAGGGGTCTTCTCCTCTGCCTGTGGAGTTTATGAACCTCTTTCCCTTCCTTGACAGAGTATTGAGGGGCCCAATCTTGTTCATGACTGCTGCAGGTAATCACAGCTGCTGAGAGCTAGAGTGTAATTGCCATGTAATGCCTGGAACACAGCATTGAATATCACTCTACTCCTCCTGGCCCTTACATTTTTCTGCTTCCCTGTTCACTGATGTTCCATGAGCCTCAGAAAAGGTGAGGTAGACCTCCACAGCTGTTTATTCTCAACAGTTAGATCAGTTATGGGTCTCTGCAATACCTGCTGCCCACTGCAGGAAGAAACTCCTCTTGTCAAAGCTCTTAGCAACACTACTTCAGTAGGAATAAACAGAAACATCTAGAAGGCAATTTTATGGGCACATAGTGTCAATTTAGCAAAACAGCAGTAGCAGATTCTCACTAAGGCCTATATTCTTCTCAGTTGTGGGCCTTTTACAAAGTTTACAGGACCTGTTGTAAATTTACTCCTGCAGAGCAGGCCTCAATCAGAAAATGCTTGGTTACTCTCCAAATAGTCATGCCACTTCCACACTGGTGGGAATTGCCTGGCAGCTTCCTGGTACTCACAGGGGCGTGTGCCTGCATCCCTGGGTGGCTGGAAGGCTCATGCAGAAGCCTATCTTGAAGTTATATGTTTAAGGACAGCTTGGCAACATACTGGGAATCATTGCAAAGAAAAAGAGAAAGCTTGTTTAAAGTGCCTTTCCTCTAGATCTCTTTGGAATTTATCAGACAGAAGAGAGAGACACAGAAAAGAGAGTGAATTTTATTATTTTCTTTTGTTACCCTAGAGGCAATGGATGCGCTAAAGAAATTTAGACACTAAAAAGAAGGCCCAGAAATTAAAATACTTGATGTTTTTTAGAGGATTCCTTCCATCATTTGTGCTAGGCAGCTCACAACTGCCTACAACTCCAGCTTCACGGTATCAAACACCTCTTCTGGCCTCAACAGTAACTAGCATGCGTACACACACACACACACACACACACACACACACACACACACACACACACAGAGAGAGAGAGAGACAGAGAGACAGAGACAGAGAGAGAGACAGAGAGAGAGAGAGACAGGACATTTCTTCCGTATTCTGTAGAGCCAGTGGATTATCCAAAGCAGCCAGTTTGTAGACCAGCATGTTAGAGGATGAACATACCTCAGGAATCCAGCCCAACCCATCAACCTTGCTGGATGGGACATGTCTACAGCCTCCCAACTCATTCTTTGGCATAACTTGGAGTTGATTACAAATTTATTATGTTTAATTTAACTAGTGTAGCTTAGTCTTTGAACTGAAGGCTCAAAGTCTCACTAAACCATCATCTGAAACAAAGGGGGATTTATTGAAACCATGCCAAAATCTAGATCTTCAAGGTTCTGTGGTCACTAGGTATCCCGAAGAAATAGATCTGGGGTCTACCTAGTCTTTAAGTCAAGATGGCACTTTCTCTGTGTCTGGCTTTCAATCAAGACAACTAGGTGCCAACCTAGAGGGTCAG